GTAGCTTTGCGTGAAATTTAAAAAACAAACAAACAATTTAGATAGTCAAGTAGATGTGTTGCTAGTAAACTCTGTACATCTTACAGGCGTCTATGGAATACACGGAAGCGATCTTGTAGCTCGGAGTGGATCAGATTCCGAAACGATACTTTTACTCGATGATCGAGGGTAAGTGTTGCTTATCTATGATAAGGTATAGTCAAGTGTTGCTTATCTATGATAAGGTATAGTCAAGTGTTGCTTATCTATGATAAGGTATAGTCAAGTGTTGCTTATCTATGATAAGGTATAGTCAAGTGTTGCTTATCTGTGATAAGGTATAGTCAAGTGTTGCTTATCTATGATAAGGTATAGTCAAGTGTTGCTTATCTATGATAAGGTATAGTCAAGTGTTGCTTATCTGTGATAAGGTATAGTCAAGTGTTGCTTATCTGTGATAAGGTATAGTCAAGTGTTGCTTATCTGTGATAAGGTATAGTCAAGTGTTGCTTATCTGTGATAAGGTATAACGTTTTATGGCTTAAAAATGCAGTTGTAGTTTTATAAATAACCACGATACAGAATATGGGGGGGGGGGGGTAGAAGAGAGAGAAAAAAAAAAGATGAATTTCCGGTATTATACAAAAGATAATAATTATTTCGTTATTGGTTAATACTTATTCTAAACGTGAACAACAACAACAACACAATCACAGAAGCGATTAATAACATATTGAATAAAAGTTTCGGAACACACTCATTACAGTTTAGCACGTTACTACAATAAAGAGGCATAAGCCCCCCCCCTCCCGTTTGATGACGTGGTACCTCGTCCAAAAAATCAGAATAAAAGTTTCGGAACACACTCATTACAGTTTAGCACGTTACTACAATAAAGGGGCATAAGCCGTTTGATGACGTGGTACCTCGTCCAAAAGATTGGAGTATATTTTTAACGTACCACTGATATTTTTATCTTTAACCCATGATCTTCAAAAGTCAATCCCACTTCAAATTTTGTATGTAGTACTTGTCACACTGGTAAGTTTGGTCAAAATCCGTCCGTCCAATCTTGAGACGTCCCGTCCCGTCCACGAGATCTGGAAGGACGGACGGACAGAAGCAAACCACTATGCCCCACACTATGCGATGCTTCGTAATGGGGGCATAAAAATGAGTGTGATAAAAAGCGTGACGTGATTTACTGGTTCAACACTTGTTGTTTTTTTTCAGTCTTAACATTCTCGTAAAATATGTTTATAACTACAAACTTCACAATTTTCACACTGTTATATCAATTTCTCCAGTTATTCTAGGAACTTCCTACGTGGGGATCAGAATGTTCCGAAACGTTCAATAAATATATTATCAGTCAATTATGTGGTGGTATTTTTTTTTTTATCGTTAGACCACTACTTCCAACTCATTAACCTATCTTAATTTCAAACTTAAGAAAAAAAAACTCCTTCGGTTAGACACTGACACTAGCTGGAAAGATATACCTTATCACAGATAAGCAACACTTGACGGTTATTTATAAAACTAGAACTGAATTTTT